CACCATAATAAAGTCATTCCTAAAATACAAAAGGTAAGTAAATAATTAAATGTGAAACTATCCTAATACGGCCGTGCATTAGAAAATGATTCATGCATAGCCATGAATGGTATGATATGATTTCAAGAATAGATTACTTCCTTAACATATGGTGATTGACAAAATTTACGAAAAATATTATTAAGAAACAATCCTAAATAGTACTAAATTTGAAAATTATGATCACGAGTATATTATTCATCACCTTACTTATATTATGTTTGTTGGATAATACTTATATTATTTTGGATCCCTTTACTTATATATGGCAATCGTTAATTATGTATCTTGAATAATCAGTAATATTATTCTGGATTCGTTTATTTTTAGTAAGAAATTTGTTATATCTAGAATGGACCCAATATTATTTTGAATTCCTTACTTATATATCTAACTAGCAATAAGTTAAATTACTCACTTTTATATCCAAATTTATGGAAACTTTTATATTCTTGGGTCAAAATCCTATTATAAAAAGAGATATATAATGAGTTGAAATGTGACATCCATCACCCATTTTCATTTTCCATTTCAATACATAGGCATTCAGAATTAATTATGCAATAAATAAGCGGAGAATCGTTAATTCAACTTCAGCCTTTTGTTTTTAAAAGGATTGGTGGTACGAGTATCCTATTTTTCAATTTCAATTGGGGCTATGGAAAATCAAGTTGACGATATATGGACGAGATCAGCTAGAGATGCAAGCGAAATGAGAAAATGAATACTCCAACAAAAAAAAGAAGATAGAAAAGGTATGCACTTTAAATATTGTTTTATCTTAATACATTTAATTATGTTTTATTGTTTTAAGGTAATTTGATGCATAACATTTTTGAATTATTTAAAATAACAAAATGAAATGGGATATGTTAGTGACCAGAATTTTTGTATTTAAAATTTATATGGTTGCTTTTTAATGAGCATTGAAAATTTTTTTTATCTTCACATATAAATCGTTAGTATAGATAAATTAATTTATGTTAAATAAAAAAAGTTTTATACAAAATTTAATATTAGATGTCAATTTTAGAAGGATTTAAAAAATTCTCCATGTGAAAATGAACACTCCAAGAAAAGATAAAAATACATGTTTATTCATGTTATTTTATAGTCATGTTATTTTATCAATTATAATCTGCATCCGTAAAAAAATTAAACGTCGTTCATAGGTTGCATAGAAATCATGGATAATTAAGATGTATAATTGTTGTTTTATCTAGGTATGCATATAGCTCACTGATTTTTTTTATTAATTTTATATTTACATCAATAGGAATAAAATGATGTCTAACCATGACTCTTTAATTTAATTTTTCTACATTTTTTATGAAAAAAATAGTTTATACATATTGAATATTTTAAACAATTGAATGGACGAATATTAACAAAGTTGAGTAAAAACATATTCGTATTTAAAATCTTTTAATATTTTAAGTTTTGAAACGTTATTTAAACTATACTTTACCCACTTATATTTTTTTACACTCATGTATAAAATTTTGTTTTACTATACGTACGGAGGAAAAAAAATTAGGCATTGATACGGAATGATCAATGTAAATAATTCAAAGTTCAAATATAATTTTTAAATTGGAAAATTTACTTATATCTAACACGTAATTCATCTATCAAAATGGCAACTAAGTTGTATTCAACTGAAATAATTGATACTCCATATATATATTCATAATCAGAGGAATTTACCTAAATAACACTAAAACATAATGACTTTCCCTAAATAGCAACATATGTTTTTTATTTCCCAATGTAGCACTTTTGAACGAAATCAAATGTTGGGAATCCCAAACCACAAAATAGTCTTGAAAAAAGGGGCACCGATTATGCTATTGAGGAACATTGACCAAACATCTGGATTGTGTAATGGGACAAGATTAATCGTTCAAGAGCTGCGAAATAATGTTATCGGTGCAATTGTGGTTTCGGGAAATCGAGTCGGGGAAAAAGTTTACATCCCTAGAATGAATTTGGTACCATCTAATCTGGGGCTACCCTTGAAGTTTCAAAGAAGATAATTTTTCGATCGCCTCATGTTTTGCTATAACAATCAACAAAAGTCAAGGTCAAACATTGTCATTTGTGGGATTATTTTTAACCAAGGCAGTGTTCACACATGGTCAACTATATTTTGTTGTTTCACGAGTGAAGACAAAGACCAGATTAAAAATATTAGTTCTATGTGACAATAGAAACCCTTGCAATCATACCAAAAATGTTGTATACATTGAAATCTTTCAGAAAATTTGGTATTAAAATAAACATTGTTAACTCTACATTCTGTTCCTCAAATATTATTTATTTTACTTTGGCTTTTTTCATTTGTAGTATATAAAATCATGTGAGCAATATATTTACTTTATTCTGAAAAATAAATTTCATTAAAATAAACTCAGAATCGACATAAATTTCTTTCGACCCTGTGCATGGCACGGGTCAAAATACTAGTTTATTCAAAACATGGGACAATAAAAAATAATTTTTTTATTTGTTTAAGTTATTTATTTAATAAAATAAAATTATTTAATAAATTCGACATTTCTACTTCATTACTCCCTTCGTCCCTGAGTGTTTGTCCACTTTCATTTTTGCACACCATCCAATACACTTCTTTAATCCATTTTATCTTGTAATTTGTATATTAAAAAATTATAAAAATTATATATTAATAATCTATATGTTAAGACGAATCAAACAAGATCACACGTGACTATTTTTAGGCTTACACATTGAGAGAATTTGATAAGTCAAAGTGCTTAGATGAACAGTTCCAAAAGTCAAAAGTGGACAAACACTCAGGGACGGACCAAGTATGACATAAGAGTCCATCTTTTTCGTGTTGTGTCGTGTCGGGCTCCTAATTTCTCGGGACGACTTTGCAGTTTGCTCACATTTATGTGTAAAATAAAAAAATTAGTTAACAAATGTGTTTGTTAAAGTAGCAAGTGTTCGTATTTGGTACAAATAACAATTTAGTTAAAATAGAAACTTTATCATACAAAAATATGTCAAAACTTATACAATACATGTTGTGATAACATTTTTTTATTTTATCAAATAAGTAATAAAATTAAAAAATATAATTTGATTATGCTTTGACCCTAAAGTATGCAAATTAATTAAGAAATAAGATTTGTTCATTGTATATGAAAGATTATAATTGCACGCTGAGTATGATCATTTTTTGTCATTATTGTCACAAGTCAAATTTAATTTTACAAATTAAATCAAAACGAGTATATACGGAATACTAAAAAAAGATGAACCCCGTCGTTGAGGGTCCCTTCAGATTCGGTCGGACGATCACTGAGAGGAGGTAACTTAGACTTTAGTCGCAGATTGATGACAGAAAATAGAGCTTACATCTGGTACTTGCAAAACTCTATGCCCAATTGTGAAAAATCGAACTCAGATTTTACAATATTGGCACTCCTTGTCTTATCAATGCGTGTCACCCGCCTTATATAGGGAATACCAAAAACAATGGGAGGGGTGAGTAATTAATAAGTTTCTAAATTTGGACAAAAATGGTGAAGACACAAAAAAGTATGACCAGATGCATGGAAGATAAGACCTGGAGTTCCAAATGTCACATTTTGCCCGTGACATGCATGTACAATAATACCCAGTACGGGAGAAGGCAACGATTTGAAAATCAAATGCAGTGTCATTTCCAAAGAAATCATTAGTATAGGGTTTTGGGCATCATTGTTGCAGAGCAGGGTCTTCTTCTTCTTCATCTTCATCTGCAAACATGAAAAACCAGCTGGGGAAAATGGGATTCCATTATCTGCACAAATTGAATGCCGAAAACATCCCAAAGGACTTGATTGAGAAGGGGCAAAAGCGTGTCATTGAAGCATCTCTGACCCTTATCCGAGAGAGGGCTAAGCTGAAGGTATGAATGCTTGTAAATTTGTAATGAATCGCCTTCCCCTCCCCTCCCCTAAATCAGTAATCTTGGAGAAATTTAGTGAACATTAGCCAAAGAACACTTCTTGTCTTGTTTTTTCAAGGTGGTAATTAAGTAGGAAATGTTTTTTAGGACGTCAAGAAATGTTTCTTGGGACGGAGGGAGTGTTGTGTTGGCTATCAATTGAAGGAAATGTTTAGAACTTTTATATAAGAGGAGAGGAAAACAAGAAAAGGAAATTTTATTTTTTCTCATTATAAACTCTTGTGTTCGGAATTCGGAATTCAAATTGAGGTAAAATAAGAAAGGGGATGTAAATAGAGAATTTTCCATCCATTAGAGAGAAAGAGGAGGGTGGAAAACAATGGAAAATGTCTTTCTCGTCATATTTCACCTCGTCTCTCTAAAGGGAAAAATGCTGGTTTGAATATGATAGAATACACATGAGGGGGTGGTACTAGACAATGACATGTTCCTGTTTTAGTTGTTCTCTGTTTAAAAACAATACTTTGTTGCAGGGAGAACTTCTCCGTGCTCTAGGGGGTGTAGTAGCATCGCCAACCCTTCTTGGGGTTCCTCTAGGGCATAACTCCTCATTCCTCCAAGGGCCTGCATTTGCTCCTCCCCGCATTCGTGAAGCTATATGGTGTGGCAGCACAAACTCTACAACTGAAGAAGGTGGTAAAATTAAGCTTTTATGCAACTGGTTTATGAAAGAGCAAAGAAATATTTGCAGACTTGGGACACTGAAAGTTATGTTATATAGCTTCATGTCAATAATGGACCAAATTCCCTTGCTTAGTTGCTTCTCACTTTCTATGAAGTATTTTTGCAGTAAATGCATTGATGGTTTCCCTGAAATAGCCTTTATGTTTTTTCACATGGATAAGGTTGTTGTTGTTGTTGGTTTTACCTGGAAAATTGAAATTTGATAAAATTTTAAAGAAATTTTACATATATTTGGATTTCTTAGTATTTGTATAGTAGAGATGATATAAATAAACCTGGATGAACAATTATATGTTTCATGTTTCACTTTGATTGTTCTGGCTAACAACCTGTCCTTCAACTCAATTTGGGAGTAACTAAAATGTGAGGGGGCCATTAGACATGAGGTATATCGGTATATTTTCTATGATAATGTTGGTTAAGAAAGCGAAAAGTTTTCTAAAACATGTATATAAATTTCATGGCGTGTGGACTAAATCAACACCCTAAATAACTAATGTCACTCCCCTCATCCAATCGTATAAGTTTGATAATAGCCATCTCTCATCTCTTCATTATTTTCTTTCCCTAGCATTTTTTTTGAGCTCCAAATGGACCATTCGAGTGATGTCATTTACAAAACAATTGATTTTTCATGCAGGCAAACAGGTGTGTGATCCTCGTGTCTTGAGTGATGCTGGTGATGTACCGGTACAAGAGTTAAGAGACTGTGGGGTTGATGATGATGGACTAATGGATATTGTTAGTAAATCTGTCAAGCTAGTGATGGAAGAAGTGAGACATCTCTCTTTTGTAGTACTTACTACAAGTACTGTACTTTGGTTGCATTTACTTTTCTCACATCTATTTCTTCTTCTTCGTCCTTTATCCACAGGTACCATTGCGTCCATTAATCTTGGGGGGCGATCACTCAATTTCATATCCTGTTGTGAGAGCTGTGTCAGAGAAACTTGGAGGACAAGTGGATATCCTTCACCTTGATGCTCATCCTGATAACTACGGTGCCTTTGAAGGAAACAAATACTCACATGCCTCTGGTTTTGCTAGAATAATGGAAGGCGGTTATGCCAGGCGGCTCTTGCAAGTAGAATCTCCATTGCTAAAAAAACCAATCTTTTCATCCTTCTTCTTGTTGAATTCCCTCAAAAGTTATAGCCTTCATGAATTTCCCACAATAGCTTAAATTGTGGGACTTGCTATATTTCAAAGACATGGTATAGGAACATTATCTTAGCTGTTTATGTCTATCTAAAATTAGAATTCTTGCTATTCAGGTTGGGATTAGATCAATCACAAAAGAAGGCCGCGAGCAAGCAAAAAGATTTGGTACCGAGCTGTATGAAATGAGAACTTTTTCTAGAGATCGCCAGTATCTGGAAAATCTGGTTTTAGTCTAACTTCTGCTCTGTGTTTTGAACTCTTCTTTTTATATCAAAGATTGATTTCTTATAACAATTCTTGATGCTTTCTTGTCCCCAGAAACTAGGTGAGGGGGTGAAGGGCGTGTACGTGTCTGTGGATATAGACTGTCTTGACCCTGCATTTGCCCCAGGTGTATCCCACATAGAGCCCGGAGGTCTATCTTTCAGAGACGTCCTCAACATTCTCCACAACCTTCAAGGGGACATTGTGGCTGCTGATGTGGTCGAATTCAATCCGCAGCGTGACACCGTTGATGGGATGACTGGTATGGTTGCTGCAAAGATTGTGAGAGAATTGGCTGCTAAGATATCAAAGTGAAAAAAAGTAACAATCTATACCCTTTGCTACTTCCTATTACTGAATTTATGAAGTTTTAGTCAGACAATGGCCCTTTTTTTCTTCTTCAAATAAGCACATCTCTGTTTCAACATTCGTGTAACCCTTGATATTGTGCAATTTGGGCGTATTTGATGAATAATAAAATGTCTTAGCTCTAGCTTCTTCATCTTGATTTTAGGCTTCGTTTGGTGGCTGGAAGTGGCCTATTATGCATCAACAGAATGTTAGAATATGTAGCTTCTGACTTATTATACTCCAGCATTTTTATAGCTGGAGTATATTTTATCAGCTAAACTATCTAAAGCCCTCTCTATAAAAATACCTTTGGGACGAATATTAGTACAGAAAACCCCCTATTCCTACTAATAATGTCATGATATCTGGTTATTCTAGTTTTAAGCCAACCCTTTTGTTTTCATAATAAAGTCATGTCAGTTTCATGCTACACTTGAATTTTGTACAACTTTTTTGGTTTGTAAGACGAATGACGCAATAATCTTAGTTGAGAGCTTAGGCCTCAACCATCTCCTCTCGTTTTTCTAGCACTATACCTTTGTACCTCTTAGCACAAAACACGAACAACACAAGATCTAATGCGACCACAGCAGCAGACAGGAAGAAAAATCTGTCCAGGTGGCCATCATTTAGATTTGGTGGGACCCAACCAGGCTTCCCGTCCCTAGCAGTGATCTTCATCACGGCTGTTAGTAAAATGCTACATAGGTAACTACCCAATGCTGAAGAGGACATTGACAAACCGAGCCCCATACTCTTGAGACTGTCAGGGATCTGTGATGCAAAGAATTCCCACTGCGCGACATTCACAAAGGCTTCTGCTATTCCCACAAATACATACTGAGGGATTTGCCAAAAGATGCTCAAAGACCTTGCCTCTTCCTCCTCATAGGCATATCTGAGCCTGTATTGCTCAACCACACCAGCTGTGGCCATGGCAATGGCAGAAATGACCAGGCCTACCCCTATCCTCTGCAGTTCACTCAATGGCTTCGGCTTTCTTTTAGTTAGCTTGATGTAGAGTGGGTGTATGATGTTTTCGTAGCAGATGATGAAGGTGGACGTGCTAATGATGTCGAATGATGTCATGCTGGCGGGAGGCATGTTGAAGGTTGATATTTTGGTGTTCATGGCAGCTCCTTGCTCGACGAAGAGGGAAAGAACTTGTGCAAATACTATGGATGACAGCATGGTGCAAATCCATATTGGGAGTAGTCTAAGGACACACTTCACTTCCTCCACTTGAGTCACTGTGCATATCCTCCATGGATTTGGAACTTCTGTTTTGGCTGGCATTAAGGTCACCATGTCCGTTGAGACCATGATTGCAGCTCGATCAAGAAACCTGCTTGTTTAGATAAAAGCAATATCAACTACCAACATATCAGTGAAATGTGGGGCAGCCTAGTGCCGAAGGAGTGATCCTTAGCAAATGAACAAAAACAAAGTTGCATCAAGAAAACCAACTTACTGAAAACCATCTGTGTGAGAGATTCTTCTGTTGCAATTATCTGCACTGCCATGAGCTTCATATAACCCTTCTCCATTCAATGGCACTTGAAGCTTCATTTTCCTCAGAGAAGCCACAATCACCTGACAAAACCTGCAGGCAGGGTTCTTGGAAGGTCTGACATGACGATACCTATATGCCCCTGTCATTAACAGGCTCAATGCAGCAAAGCCACATATGGTAGATATCCAAAAGGCAAGTACCCATTTCCCAAAAGTCTCAATGTACACCAAAACTGTCTCTGCCACAAGTGACCCGAGGTTTAGCGCGACGTAAAAGTAGCTGAAAAATTTCGTCTTTGATCGGCTCTCTTCTGGATCTTCTTCGTCGAACTGGTCTGCTCCTAGGGTTGCAAGTACGGGCTCTATGGAGCCACTTCCAATGGCTAGTAAGTACATGCACACATAGAACATTGCTACTTCAACCATTGACTGTGGGTCACATAGCTCTCCTATCCTCCCACACCCTTTAGGCACTAGCATGAACATATGAGTTAACAATGACAGTGCCACCAATCCCTGCAACAAAACCAAACCAATCAACACCAGGAGCTTCTCTTGCAAAATTGTACCTTTAGAGTTTCAATATCAGTGTTATAAAAAGCACTAATGAAGCCCATGCAGACATAGTTTAGGTCAATAACCCAGTGAAACCCCACAAAAGTAGGATTTACATTGAGAGAAGAAGTGTTCTGTAGACATACATAGTTCGGGTGGACTTACAAAATTCATGACAGAAAGGAAGATGATACAAGTGAGATATCTTCCCATGTAGGAGTCACTGAGGAAAGCTCCCACAAGAGAGAAAACATAAAGGGTACCCATCCACCTGCTAAAGAAGTTTGCAGCATCTGCATTTGATTTTCTCATGACAGACTTGGAAAAGAGGGCCATGTTCACTTCCACTCCTGTGAAAGCCAGTGTAGCCAACCCTTCACTTGCTGCACGTTCAAAAAAAAAACTACAGATTATTGCTGGCTATAAGTGCATTGAATGCGTTCGTTCTTGAACCATAGAATCTTGAGTCTTACTATGTTGTTATTGAAGTTACCTAGTATTAAGATTGCGGATTTCCATCCACCTGTTTTCCCCTTGAGCGCCGGTTTTCCATGTCGATCTATTGATCCATCTCTGGTGCAAGAATCAAGCAGTCTCATCTTCCCTTCCTGTTTTTAACAAATAAATAAATAAATACAATAGTTGCTCAACTTTTTTTTCTGCTTGACTGTATGTTTTTCCGATGTGGGAGTAACGTTTTTTGCTCGTTTGAAGATGTTTTTTCAGTACTAATAACTCTATTGAAATTTAATATCTATTCATGTATACTTTTTAAAATATACGGAGTATTACTGAAGCACCCAGAGTCAATATCCCCATTCAGATCATTATTATTGCAGTGAAGTTCAAATTTTGTGGCCAAAAAACAATGGCTAACACATCCCCTATGCTTATTTTTAATTCAGGACAAGCTTTAATAACATATGGGGTTCGCTAATTACTCCTTTCGTCCTAAAATAGAATATGCACTTTGACTTTTCATGAAAGTTTAAGAAGTGTTAAAAAGTATTGTAAAAGGTAAACTTCACGTTTTACTTCTATCCTAAAATGAAGTTCATAGTTTTCTTATTTCTTTTCAAAGAATCATATCGTGAAGTTCATGGTTTTCTTACTCCGTATTTCTTTTCAAAGAATCATATTTGTAGCTCACATCATTTCTCGTTTTTTAAACAAATTATAATCATATCATATTATAATCATGAAGTTTATCTGAGAGACTGAGACGAAAGGATGATTTATTAACTAACGACATGCATTTTTAATTTCTTTCTGTTTTGATCGATTATAGACTACTTAGAAACTGAAATTGCTCATTTGATATGTCTTGTTGTTAGCAGTAAGCACACCTACATGCTCTCTGCTGGTGATGGCAAACAAGTTAAATGCTGGGATCTAGAACAAAATAAGGTTGGTAAAGACAATGCAGTCCTTATGGTTTAGACACACTATAATTAGTTATGGCTTACTATTCAATATCTGAGGCTTTAAGTCACATATCTCACCCGAATTGAGCTTAAAATTCATATTACTTGCACTAGTACTTCAATTGGGCGTTAATTCATGATTACGTTGCAATTGATTACATGGTTTTTCTATGCTATATTGAGTTCATTTAGATAAATTCATTTAGAGTGTATGTAAACATTCACTCGTTGTCAACTGGTGTGGTACACATCACTGTGCATTATTGAAATTAAAATCCAAATGGAAATATTTTTAAAGTTTCCTCCTAATAAAATAAAAATTAAAAAAAAATAGGTTTTGGCATCAGTTGTTTCTAAACAACCGATGCCAATGCATTTTTTTTTTATTAAAAAACAAGGCTTTGGCATCGGTTGTTTTGAAAGAACCGATGCCAAAGCTCTTTTTTTAAAAAAAAAAAAAGGCTTTGGCACTGGTTGTTTTTAAACGACCGATGCTAAAGCCCTTCCCTTTGAATGCAGGACCTTTTGCATCGGTTTTTTTATAACCGATGCAATTGCTCTTGAGCAATTGCATCACTCGCATTTGCATCGGTAAAAACCGATGCAAAAGGTCCAAAACAACCGGTGCTAAAGCATGGTTTTGTAGTAGTGACTTAGAAACTGAAATTGGGTGGCATTAGTCTTTTTCTAAAGGGATAAATAATTTATCAATGTTCCCATTTTGATGATTATTTGTTACTCCCTCCTGTTCTAAAAATCTTTAATATTTTCACCTTTTTTGTGATAAAAAAATTGATATATCAAAAGCGTATACTAAGATGAGCCCAACACACACAATTCAAGACACCATATATGGTGCCAATTTCGACCATGTGTGGATATTTATGCTAACACATAATTCAAAAAAATATTAGTGGCATATTCAGGTTTTGTTTTACGGTGGTAGAGCTGGCCAATATAAATGTATTCAAGTCTGTCTCAAAATAATTTTTTCAAATCTGTCTCAAAATAATTTTTTCACTTTTTTTTAGTTTTATAAAAAATAAAGAATATGTAGTTCACAATTTTTCTCTTTGCTTAATGAAATAACAAGTGTTCTCTTTTTATTTTCTTTAATATTTTTCTTATAAACTGTAGAGTCAAAGTGAAACAATTTTGAATTGTAGCAGTTGTATGTCGAGCATCTAAATTAGAGAACCTTTTGCTTTTACCTTTTTTTGTGCTTTATCAATTCTTCTTCTTTATTAACTCCAAATACCAGTTCGAGTTCCGAGGGGAATCAATCATTTTATTTGTCCTAGCGGTGTAGTCTCTTCACTAATATGGATTAAAGGATGGATTAGGAGGAAACGGAGTATTATATTATATTGGTACTGGATTAGAGTAATTAAATTATTGAAACAAGGGGAACCTAAATGATGATTTCGACCATGTTTGGAATATGGATAATTATGCTAATACATAATACGAAAAAATATACTCACTTTGTTCTAAATTAAGCGTCTCACTTTCTTTTCAAGTATGTCTCAAAATAATTTTTTCACTCTTTTACTTTTATAAAAATAAAGAATATGTGGTTCATAATTTTTCCATTTGCTTAATAAATTAACAATTGTTCTCTTTCTATTTTTTTTAAATATTTTTCTTATAG